CCTCCGGTCCTTATTATAAGACCCAATTTGACTTTTTATTTGGTCCTAATTATAAGACCCCAATCCATTTTATCTCTTATATTTATGCATTTTTTTTTAAGATAATCCTTCTAATAATGATAGTTTTAGCCAATATACTTAATTAGCAAGGATATTTTAGGAATGACAACACTTATTTATTATAATTAACCAACTTAACTTACTTCCTTAATCTCCTCAAATAAGTCAATTGGGTCTTATAATTAGGACCGGAGGAGTAACATTTTGTGTAATGTAATGTTAAAAAACCAAAACAACAACTTTACTTGTTTTTCCTTTTAGTTCATTTTAGAAGAATTTTTGCAATTTTAGTTATTTTATTTTTCAATCAAGTAAACGCAGATGAAAGACTTGATAATAATAAATAAAGTGAAAAAAATAAAATGAATAGGTATTATTTTGCTGAAAAAACATATGTAAAGGTAGAGAAGAAAAATATATTTTCTTCTCATTTTCTCTCCATATATGGAGAGAAAGTTGGGAGGAAAATGGGCTATAAGACCCATCTTATTTTCTCCCCAACTTTTTTTTCCTCTCACTTTTCTTCCCTTATCCAAACAGAAGAAAAACCACTTCTCTCCCCATTTTCCTTTCTAGTTTTCTTTCCTCCCTCATTTTCTCTCCATCCAAACATAGCATTAAGATTAGATAGCATTTTTATTGGATTTATTTTAGATATTTTTCAATTTACATATTTTAAATTAAATATTAACATGTTTGCATTTAATTACAGGATCATCATTTAAATTCGTTGACTTACCATTTTTTTTAATTAATGAGAGTAATGGTGTTAACATTAAGGCATTGAAAAATACACTTCATAAAATTAAATTACTAAACCAAAACTTGACGTGCAAAGTTAGATGACCAAACATATATCTTATCTTATATTTTTATACACAAAAAATACCAACAATTGACAAATTTTGTATTCTGATTTAGGTCCTTACAACCAACAAAATTTTAAAATAGTACAAGGAATCTGATTTGGGCTTTTAAAATTCACCCACTCCAATTTATACTTTAACATTTTTTTAGGGTATTTTATTGTTTTTTTCCCCATATTCATCAAGTCATACATCATGTGAGACAAGATAAGTGCAGAAAAATGAACATACCTTTGAATCCAACAAAATAATTTATGAACATACCGTTAGAGATATTAAGTGTTAGTTAAGCTACACTTTATATATGATTTTTGTGTTTAGCGTGATAGAATGTATATCCCCCCTATAGTGAGAGAGAGTAACTTGGATCTCTCTTCCCCTAAGAGTTTTGGGTTGTTTGTCATCCTTAAGGAAGGGTTGTATATTCCAAAGAGGGTTCAATGTATCTCTTTTGTTGATTAATGACACTTTATCAGTATTTGTTCTTACGCTTAACATGATATCAGAGCTAGATTGATTTTAGGATGTTTCTTGATGTGCCACCTCTCTTTCCCTAAGGTTCTTGATTTTGCTGTCATCCTCCCATTCACGCTCACACACTTAGAAAAACAAAAGAAAAACTAGGGGAATCTCTTATGAAAATTTTTCATCGGTAACAAGGACATGATATATTTTTAGGGTAAAATATATGTTTGGTCTTCTAAGTTTATATCATTTAGTCTCTTAAATTTATAAAGTATATTTTTCACCCTTAATATTAACATCATTAGGTCTATTGATAAAAAATATCGATTTAGCAAATTTAAACGGTGACTTTACATTTAAATGCTGATAAAGCATACTTAAAATTTAATCCTTTATTATAATATTTTTATATTTTGAAAGATGAGTTGTTAATGTTAAACATTTAGATTAGATAGCATTTTTATTGGATTTATTTTAGATAATTTTCAATTTACACATTTTAAATTAAATATTAACATGTTTGCATTTAATTACAGGATCATCATTTAAATTCGTTGACTTACCATTTTTTTAATTAGAGTAATGGTGTTAACATTAAGGGACTGAAAAATACACTTCATAAAATTAAATTACCAAACCAAAACCTGACGTGCAAAGTTAGATGACCAAACATATATCTTATCTTATATTTTTATACACAAAAGATACCAACAATCTACAGATTTTGTTACGGAGTGAACATGGTGATAAGAATGGGAAAGTTACTTTTCTATTATTTCATCTTGGATATATATACAGAGTATGAAAAGGACTACACGTGAGCTGTACAATCCGTTTTATTCTAACTGAACTAATCTAACTAATATAACCAATATTATAAATTAGTTATACTTAGATATTTATACTCTAACACCCATCCTCAAGCTAGAGAATGGATATTAATCATTTCCAGCTTGGAAATGGCAGTGGAAAAAGCTTCAATGGAGAGTGCTTTAGTAAAACAATTAGCAACTTGATCTATGGAGCGAACTGGTAGAAGATGAAGAGTGCTTGCTTGAGTTTTCTCATGTACTATATGATAGTCAATTTCAATATGCTTGGTACGTTCATGGAAAGTAGGATTCGCAGTGATGTGTAGGGCAAACTGGTTATCACAAAACAGATTTGCAAGCTTAGGATGTGGAATTTGAAGATCTTGGAGTAGATATAATAACCATTGTATCTCACAAGTGGTAGAGGCTAAGGCACGATATTCTGCTTCTGATGATGAGCGTGACACCGTGGCTTGTTTCTTTGCCTTCCAAGAAATAAGGGAATGATCTAAGTAGATGCAAAAACCAATAACTAGTCGCCGAGTATCTGAGCAACCAGCCCAATCAGAATCACACTATCCTTTGAGCTGGAAATCACATGAAGAAGGAAAAAATAATCCTTTGGCAGGAGAAGATTTGAGATAATGAAGGACCCTGTGAGCGGCCTTGAGATGCTCATGAGTAGGAGCAGAAACAAACTGACTGAGCTGTTGAACAGCAAAGCTTAAACCAGGCCGAGTAACACAAAGATAACCAAGTCTGCCTACAAGAGCCCTGTAAACAGTGGGATCAGCCAATGGGGTGCCCACATTCTGAGATAGTTTGACATGTCGATCTAGTGGAGATCGAAGAGGCTCAGTAGCCAAAAAACCAGCATCAGATAAAATTTCCAGAGCAAACTTTCTTTGACATAAAGAAATTCCAGATTTGGATCAAGCAACTTCTAATCCCAGAAAAAGTTTGAGAGCACCAAGGTCCTTGATTTTAAAAGCATCATCCAGAAGTGTTTTAATTTGCTGAATTTCAGCAAGATCATTACCAGCTAAAATAATGTCATCAACATAAACCAGTAAAGCTGTGAAAGAGTCATTAGTTTTTCTAACAAAGAGAGAATAATCTGATCTGGACTCTCTATAGCCATAAGAAATAAGAGCAGCAGATAACTTTGCAAACCATTGACGACTAGCTTGCTTTAGACCATATAAGGATTTTTGAAGTTTGCAAACTTGATTTGGTTTAGAGGATGAAAAACCAGGAGGTAGAGACATGTAAACTTCCTCATTCAAATCACCATGAAGAAAGGCATTGTTAACATCTAGTTGATGCAAATGCCAATTCTTTGCTGCTGCTATAGCTAATAACAAACGCACTGTGGTCATCTTTGCAACAGGAGAAAAAATGTCTAAGTAATCAACTCCCTCAACTTGGGTATAACCCTTGGCAACCAAACGAGCCTTCCTTTGACCAAGTGAGCCATCTTCCTTATACTTGTTTCTGAAAACCCATTTACAGCCTATGGGAGTTTTTCCAGGTGGGAGATCAGTAAGAATCCAGGTTTTATTCTGTTCTAAGGCACCAATCTCAGCAGCCATAGCTTGTTTCCACTCATCATGTTTAATGGCTTGAGCATAAGTTTTTAGTCAACTGATATGGATAGACTAAAATGTTTGTAAGAAGGAGAAAGTTTATCATAACTCAAAACTGAGGAAAGAGGATAAAGAATACCTGATTTGCTTGTACCAGTGGAAGAAGACGAAGCTGAAGTTAAGAGGGAACAATGATAATCTTGAAGGTAAGCTGGTGATTTTCTTGCTCTTGTGGAATGATGATTTGATGGCTCAGTAATGGAAGGAGGGACAGGATTTGATGGCTCAATATTTGATGGTTGAATGACAGAAGTAGAGGGTAATTCTGGGGAGTAAAATGGAAGATCAGAACAATCAAGAAGTGGTTGTCGTTGAGGAAGACATATAGGAGGTGAATTGGATAAAATAGTTTGTTTTTGAAAGGGAAAAATGGATTCAAAAAATTCAACATTCCTGGACTCGAGGATTTGTCTAGTTTTAATATCAAGAAGAACAGAGCCTTTAGTGCCCGGTTCAAAACCAAGAAATACACATTGATGAGCACGATGATCAAATTTTGTACGATTTTGTGTTATAGTTGAAGCATAACAAAGGGAACCAAACACTCTTAGAGTGGAGAGGTCAGGTGGTTGTTGAAAAAAGAGTTCATGAGGAGAAACATTTTGCAGCAAAGGAGATGGAAGCATATTAATGATATAAGTTGCATGATTAAGTGCATAGGACCAGTAAGCTATGGGTAGATGAGATTGAAATAAGAGAGCTCGTGTGACATTAAGCAAATGTTGGTGTTTTCTTTCCACAACACTATTTTGTTGAGGAGTTTCTACGCAGGAAGTCTGATGCATGATTCCTTTAGAAGCAAAATAATTTGTCATAGCAAATTCTAAACCATTATCAGATCGAATGGTTTTAACAGCAAGACTAAAATGCTTTTCATGGAGGGTAATAAAATTTTGTAACAAAGACCGAGTTTCAGACTTGTTATTCATGAGAAAGACCCAAGTGTATCTTGAAAAATCATCAACTATAGACAAAAAATACTTGTGTCCATGAACAGAAATGGAAGGAGCTGGTCCCCAGATATCAACATGAAGTAAATCAAACACACGAGCACTACGAAAAGTGCTAGTGGGGAATGGTAATTTTCTTTGTCTAGCAAAATGACATACATCATAATGAGCAGAAGAAAGATTAGATGGAATTAAGGGGAATTTATTATGAATTCGCTGAAGAGATCCAGGAGACAGATGGCCAAGACGGAAGTGCCATAAGTCGAAGAAGTTGGCATCATGGGTTTTGACATGAGTTCTGGAAGCAAGAGCAAGAGATGGATTTGCCTGACGCTTCATTATGTATAATCCTTCTTGAACTTCAGCTGAACCAATCGTCTTCCACTTGGTCAAGTCCTGAATCAAACAAGAAGATTTGAGAAAAATGAGAATACAATTGAGACTGGCAGTAAGTTTGGTAACAGACAACAAATTAAAATGAAAATCAGGTATAAAAAGAACATCAGAGAGATAAAAGGAATCAGAGAAATGGATGGTTCCTGATTGAGAGGCAGTGACAAAATTTCCATTAGGTAGGGAAACATTGATAGGCCGAATATTACTGTAGGAGGTAAAGGAAGAGAGATTGCAGCAAATGTGATCTGTAGCTCCAGTACCAATGATCCAGAAGCTTTGAGAAAAGGTAGAGAGAGCAAATGATTTACCTCCTTAGGGAGCAAAAACGTGATTTAAAGAAGGAGTGGGAGGGTTGGAGGAATTGTCCGTTTGAACCAATGCTATAACCTGTTGATATTGCTCAGAAGTTAGACCAATTTTTGCATCATGAGAGGAATCCTTGGCTTCGGCTAATGAAACCGGAGGCTAAGAAGCAGAATTATTGGTCGAGTGGGATGAATTTCAAAATTTAAAACTAGGAGGAAATCCATGCTTGCGATAACATGTCTCCTCTGTGTGTCTCAGCTTGCCACAAAACGTACATTGCTTGTTGTTGAAACTAGAATTAGAACCATTATTTTGCCGAGGTTGAGATTGAGATCGTGGATTAGGACCACGATTTTCCATGAGGACCTTGGATTCAGAAATCATCTCTCGTTCCTGCTGCAAAACAAGATTACAGACACGATTTATACCAGGAATAGGATCCATAAGCATTATTTGAGATTTAACCCCTGTAAATCGATCATTGAGGCCACGAAGAAAACGGATAGTGTAATCTTGTTGCAGATACTTTCGAGCTTCACAAGTACATGAGGAGAGAGGTCGTAGATTCTGCAATTCATCCCAAAGAATCTTAAGCTTGGTGAAATATTGGCCAACCGGTAAATCTCCTTGTCTTAAAGAAAACATTTCTTCTTGGATTTCTGCAATACGAGAGGCATCGTTTTGAGAAAAACGATCTGCTAGATCTAACCAAAGGTCATAAGCTGTGTTGATCCAAAGAACACTTTGTGAAATATCCGATGAGAGACATCGATTGATCCATGAAATCACCAAATTATTGCATTGACGCCAGGCCAAATACAACGGATCTGTTGGAACTGGACAAGAAATGCTTTTGTTAACAAAATCTATCTTGTTCTTGGATTCCAAGGCCATTGCCATAGCTCGCGACCAAGAGTGATAGTTATTTCCTGAGAGTGGAGGAGAAACAAGAACAGCCCCTAGGTTTTCATTCGGATGTATATAATACGGGCTAGTAGGACTCTAGATTTGCTCAGAAATTGAAGAAGAAACAGAAGAAGACATTTCAAAGCAAAAAAAAAAAATGCTGCGGAAGTCAGGAAGAAAGAGAAGGGCGAGAAAATCAAGGAAGGAGAAGGAGAGAGCATAAATGCTCTGATACCATGTTATGGAGTGAACATGGTGATAAGAATGGGAAAGTTACTTTTCTATTATTTCATCTTGGATATATATACAGAGTATGAAAAGGACTACATGTGAGCTGTACAATCAGTTTTATTCTAACTGAACTAATCTAACTAATATAACCAATATTATAAATTAGTTATACTTGGATATTTATATTCTAACAGATTTTGTATACACAAAGTATTAGTATTCTGATTTAGGTCCTTACAACCAACAAAATTTTAAATGCACACTTTGATAAGCCACATGTCTCTTCCTATATTTATGGAGGCCCTAAATGGAGGTACAATATATCCCACATACCTGTTTACTTTGATTATCTGCATCCATCGTCCACTTCATTTGCACTTTTCCTCTTTCCATAGCATCTATCCATTAGAGTTCATCTCACCATGGCTATCTCTGGATTTATCGTCAAGATTCGGATCTCAGACACTGAATACGTCCTACCCTATAACGAGGGTCAGACCATCACCATCGATTTTACTGAGATGCCTACTGAGATACTGGCAACTCAAGAGGCAGCGAAGCACCGTTGTGTTGGTGGCAGTGGCCACCATTGCCGTGTGATACGTGATGTGGATAACAACCCTATAGGTGAAGAGGATCAACTTCCGTCAGGTTCAACTCACACACGTTACAATGAGGATTAAAGTGTGAAGTTGATTGGTGTCTCCCAGCTCCTTCCTTTCATTAAAGCTCGCTCCACTCTTTTTTAATTATCATCATCAAATAAGTAATTAATTTTGTTATGTTTCTGTTATTGTTGTTAATGCTTCATCTAATGTTGTGTGTCAAGATTAAAAGGAAAAAAAACACAAGAACAAGTTTATTATTGTACTGTGCGGTTAAGTGATTTGATATGGTTGCCTTTTTAGTTGTCTCTTAATTTAACAAAATCCACGTCCGATTTCACGAAGAAAGCCAGGATGACGCCATTTTTTACTACTTTCAGTCCTTAATGTAAGAGTTAGTTGACTAATTTGAGTAGATTAAAAAAATTAGTTAAATTCATTATTTATAATAAATAGATGTTGTCTTTCCTAAAATATCCTTGCTAATCAAGTATATTGGCTAGAACTACTATTATTACAAAGACTACTTTAAAAATATATATATATATATAAATATAAGAGATAAAGTGGATTGGAGTTTTATACTTAAGACCAAAATAAAAGTTAAATAAACTCTTATATTAAGGAGCAGAGGTAGTAAATTAAAGTTTTTTTTTAAAAAAATATTACTATAATTATTAGCAAAAAAATATTACTATAATTAATTGGATAATAAAAAACGTAATGTGTATTTAATTATATATTTAATAGGTAATGACATTGCAACCTAGTGATATTGGCGCTTATCTATAAGTAGAAGGTGGTGAGAGCTATGAATTTCAGAGATTAGCATCCTCTCCTTTACCCTTCACCTCCTCTGCCCCTCCTTGACTAGGTCTGTGATGAAGACAAAGATGAAGAGAATAAAGATATGCTCAATTTAGGTTTTGGATGTACTTTCTCAATTGATTGTGAAAAACAAGTTAGGTTAGAAAAGAACTTTCTCATAACCAAGTACCAATTTAAAAATTAATTTATTTTTTAAAAATGAAACTTGAATTTACACTGCTATTACTATACCAATCATAAACATAAGTGTGGAAATTAGTTTACTTTTTTAAAAAAATTATTTTACTTTTCTGCTCTAGTTATAAACATAACACATGCATGCATATAAAGTACTCTCTGATACCTAAATATAAGACTCATTTTGTAGTGTAATTTATACTGTAAAAGGGGTTTATATTTAGGATTAGAGGAATAATTTTTTTAAAAAAGGATTTTACATTTCTACTTGCTTACAAAACATAACACATGCATGCATAAAGTAATTTATTTTTTAAAAAAAATTTAAAACTTTATACACCCTTTAAATTTGTAAACTAGGTAGAAAAAGATAAATTTTAAAGATAAATTGAGTAATTTTCCAAGTTTTCTCGAGTAGAACAAGGCCTGTAGCTTGAGATGCCGACTGGTAAAGCTTGGAAAAATTGACAATTTTGGGAGAACTATGCGGCAGTTGAATTCTCCGCAACAAATTTTTTTTTGAAGCAAAGACAAAATGAAATATATTAAAATGAAGCAAGTTTAAAGATTACATATAGTAAACAAACCAACAAAAAAGGAACTAAGATTTACAAAACAATATTTAGAAATAACTTTAACAAAAGGAAAATCATGAATAACCGTGAGAATTTCCTACCAAATGATAGTGAGGGCTTCCTCAAAGTTTGAAGGAATTTGTATGAATCTTTTTCCAACACAGTAAACGCACAGTACAGTTGGTCTCAGAATTTAGAAGAGTTGATTGATGGATCCAAAATAGAGATGCTTTGAGGCATTTAGATTGAAAGTTATGACTTGCTATTGTTGTATTGGTCTAGATGAATTCTTTCACAGGCTTGCTATTAAGACATATATGATATCATGACAAGAATATTCACCAAGCCTTTTATACTTAAACATCAAAATATCCCAACCATTAGATTGTAAAACCAGTTGAGACGGAACGGAGCAATGAATCTGCATGTCTTTGTTAATGTGCTTGGAGCCATCAAAAGCAAAGCTAGAAAAGAAATTAACATTCTTGATCTCTTGAATGATTGAAAAAAGGGAGTCCCTTCTACCTTCAGCAACACCTTATTCCTCTTCCTCCAAATCTTATTAAGCAAGCAAATGATTCCATAAACTAGATATGTGGCCTTCCATATCCAAGAAAAGGAAAGTTGATGTTAACTAGCATATGGAATCCTCAAAAGTCTCCATAGGAATTTTAATAGAAAAGCATCCAAACCCTAAAGCTCGAGCATGCGGACAGGAAAGAATATATGCTCAAGAGTTTCTTTCTTATCAAAGCCAAAAAGACATGTCTCTCCACTATGAAGATGATGCTTCCTAAAGACATCAAATGAAGGCAAAGCTTGATGCAAAAGTTTCTATATTGAAAGCAATTGTTTGTAAGGCAAATTAAGTTTCTAAGAGAAAATTCCAAGAATCAGCATATACTAAGCCCAGAGTTGAGCGATTCTTGCTAGACCAAAGATAATTGACTCAATCTTTCACCAAGTAACCACCCAAAAGGATTTCTATTCCAAAGGAAGGTTTATCAGTTAAATTTTAAAAGGAGAGAGGTAAACCAATAATTTCCTTAGCAATATCTAAATGATAGATAGTCTTGATGAGATGTGTGTTCCTTCTAATAGGACTCCAAGAGGAAGGATCATGCAATAAAAGATTTGCCAGGAGCTGAATATTCACCTAGTTTTAAGAGTCTAATTACATGGGCCACCATAAATGGTGGTTAAGAAGAACAAGTAAACCATTACTAATTCTCCATTTTAATTTACCAATAATCTCAGCACATTCTGCAATACCTTTTCAAATCCAAGAAAAATTATAAGGAAGTTTGATAATAGAAGAGGAGTGAACATCTATATATTTTGGTTTCAAGAAAGAAGCTAACAAGAAAGATTCTTAAGAGGATATGACTCTTTAGACTTGTTTTGCAAGAAGAGCTTAATTGACCATACGAGCCGTGATGGGAAAAGAGGTCTCCCCACTTTTCTCTTCTCCCATTTCTCTCTGCTTCCCAACTCAACCATAAGATTACAATTTAAACAGTCATATTTCATATTTTTATAAAATTATAAAAAAAAAAGTTAAATTGTTTTAAAAAGTAAATGAATAAATAAAATAAAACTAGTAAATTTTAGCCATGATGATTTAAAGCAACAATAAGAAATACCTTATTTATAAAATTTATAAATATGAAATAAGGACTATTCATTTGTGATTTTAATAGTTGAAATGTGAAGTGAATAAAAATAGGAGGGGAGGAAAGAAGAGGGGCCCCTTTCTTGCCGTGACAAACTTCCTTATGCTGGGTGAAGCCACAAAGGAGTGCGCTCTAGTCTCTAATTCGTTCGCCGCAGCAAATCTTCTAAGGCCTTATCCTTTTTCATTGGACTTCCTGGGCTTGGTTGTTTGGGTTTGGACCTTTTAGGACCATGGGCTTTAAGCTGGTACAAACCTTGGTATTACAATTTTTGTTGGTTCTATTTGTTGATTTTTCTTCCTTAAAACTCTTCTTAAACACGTGTTAATTCACAATAAATCTGTTTTTAAGGTATGGGTGTTACATCAATCATAATTTAAGTAACTACCGAAAAATATTAGACTTATGATTTCATATTATTAGTTTGAACAACTAATTAATTGGTTATTTGATGAATTAATCAAATTGTGGCGTGCATAATTTAGAATAACTAATTATTTCCCTTTCAAAGTTTTCTTCTGGAATTCCCATATTTTTCGTCCTAAAGAGCACATCTTTCTAGCTACTTTATAGTACTCTTACACCTTAAGACCAGTTCCAAACTGATCAAACAAACACTCACACCGAAAGCACAGCCAAGTATTCTCCTTATAAATATAATTCCTACTTCACAACATTTAGCCTTAAATGAAACTTACATATTCTTCTTTCCGATTCTCTTAATTAAAACAGTTTCAGATCCAAAGATCCTTAAAAGGGGAAGCTAAGCTAAGCTAAAGCAAGATATTAAGGATGGTGGTATCCAGAAGAATGGTTGTGTTTGGGCTTGTTGGAGTTTTGATGTTCATGTTCTTATTGAAATCATGCGAGGCAACTACTGATATGGCGTCTGAATCCATCAAATGCTCTCATTCATCATCATCATCATCAAACCCAGCAGGAGGAGGCTCTGGTTCGCATGAAGAATGCACAGATCATGGAGATGATGATGATATCAATGATGACAATGATGACACTTTTAAGGTTGTAGGAAATGTAGCCATCTCTCTTTGATTATTATGATTTGATT